ACGTCTATGACCTAATTAAACATTTTTTTTTAGGAAAAATGGTACGTTGGTGTATAAAGGTTCGCCACCCCTGTCCTATACATTCTTCAGGTGCCACAACTCGTAAAACTCATTCTTTAAACTTCTGGAAATATTTAGCACTGCTATAGACAAAACAACAATGTTTTTGTGATATATTTATATGAAAAAATATATGATTTCACCTAGTTTCATAGCTGTTGTGAAATGAAGTGCAGTGAGGAAAGTGTTGGCGAGGCGCGCCTCTGCACTTGGCGTCAGATTTTGTCATTCAATGTTACGATTCCGTCGGAGAAGCAGCTCTGACCAAGGAGCTGTTTGTTTTGTTGAATAAATGTTTGTTTTGTATTTAGAAGGCCTATGTGTCACTTTTATTTCCAATGCACCCAGCATCTGGTAGATGCAGCCCATGAACGATCTGGAATTTCTCCTTCGGTTTCTAACATAAATGGTACCCTCGGCGGGACACGGGTGCTTTTTGGAATGGATTTCGAAATGAAATAAGATTAGGACTGAATTAAAATTGATTTTTGTTATGATCTTGACTTTCGATTTGATTAGAATTTTGAACTGATTTTTCTTATGATCTTGAATTTCGATTTGATAGAAATTTGATTTGAATTTTGAACTGATTTTTCCTGATTGATTTTTTGAACTGATTGATCTTGAATTTCGATTTTGATGAATTTTGAACTTACGTTACTGAAAATTTGATTTGTGAACTTTCAAACTGTGAATCTGAACTAGTTTGGATTTCGAATTGAAAATGGAATTAAATGCTTTGAAAACACAACGAAAAGGACTGCGAATTGCCTTCACTCACACCGTGAAGAAAATCGAAACGGAATTAGACAAAGAAGTAAGAGATTTAAAGGCTCTATCGATTTTAAAGTTTCAACTTAATGATAAGTTCCAAAGACTTGAAGTTTGTCAAAATGCTATATCAGAGCAGCTTTTGCAGAATGAAACAACAGAAAATGCATATAATGAAGATTTTGAAGAGTCTGAGAATTACCGAGACACGTTCTTAGAACGATGTGCTCAAATAAACTCGGAAGAACAACTCTCTGTGCTGCCGACTGACAAGGAAACGAGAAAATTTAAACTCCCAAAAATAGAACTGAAAAAATTCTCAGGTGAAGCTAAAGATTACCTTACATTTTGGAGTCAGTTCCAGAAAATTCATGATGAAAAATATATTGCAGACGAAGATAAAATGCAGTACTTGCTGCAATCTATGGAACCGAAATCGAAAGCTGAACGTCTGATCCTTAGTTTTCCTGCAACGGCAGCTAATTATTCTAAAGCTATCGAACAACTGAAAGAGCGTTTTGGACGAGAGGATTTGCTGGTACAAATATATGTACGTGATTTGTTAAATTTAGTTATGAAGAACGCAGCAACCGGAAGAGCAAAAACTGATTTACCCTCCCTCTATGACGAACTGGAAGGCAAACTGAGGTCTTTAGAAAGCTTGGGAAGAACCCAAGAAAAATATGGGGATTTTTTGACAGCGTTGGTAGAAAGTTGCCTACCAGAAGAAGTATTGGTGGCGTGGGAGAGGAGTCGTAACCACGACTCCACTGAAAAAGGAGACCGTTCTTTGGAACAGTTGATGAATTTCCTTCGGCAAGAAGTGAAAGGCGTAGAGATGGTCTTGCTAGCAAGAACTGGTTTTGCTCCCCACCCGAGTCACCATAATAAAAACCCTCGAATAGAGCAGGTAAGATTAGCCGATTCGGCTACCGCTGCATCCCTAGTAAACAGCAGCATCGCTAGTAATGCAGGTAAGCGAAATTGTATTTTCTGTGATAAATCCCATCCCAGTGAAAAATGTTTTTCCGCGAAGAAAATGTCATTAATCGAGAAGCAACAAATATTACTGAAAAAGGGTGCTTGTTTTTCATGTTTGAAAAAGGCTAATCATATAAGTAAATTTTGTGATGAAAAAAATAATTTAAAATGTTCTAATTGTAAATATAATCATTTTGATATAATGTGTTCCAAATTAAAAAATAATGACCAAAAAAGTATTTCTAAAGAAAGTTCTCTTTCTAATAGCAGCCAAAGTGAAACTGTATATTTGCAAACTCTTTTCGTTTTAATTCGAAGTCAAGGTCGTGAGAAAATTATTCGATGCGCAATTGACACTGGTAGCCAAAGCAGTTACGTTAGTGAAAATATTATACGTCTACTTAAGGCGTGGCCTCTTCGAAAGGAGACAGTGATTCATGCACTGTTCGGGGGGAATGAAACGAAACCAAAACAACATGAAGTNAAAGTTGCCTACCAGAAGAAGTATTGGTGGCGTGGGAGAGGAGTCGTAACCACGACTCCACTGAAAAAGGAGACCGTTCTTTGGAACAGTTGATGAATTTCCTTCGGCAAGAAGTGAAAGGCGAAGAGATGGTCTTGCTAGCAAGAACTGGTTTTGCTCCCCACCCGAGTCACCATAATAAAAACCCTCGAATAGAGCAGGTAAGATTAACCGATTCGGCTACCGCTGCCTCCCTAGTAAACAGCAGCGGTAGATGCAGCCCATGAACGATCTGGAATTTCTCCTTCGGTTTCTTACAATCGCAGTACATTCTTATACAACTGAAAAGAGGAGGAGAGGGAAGGGAGAAGGTCCAAGGGCATGAAACCGGTCTCTCTCAAGATGGCGTATTCGAGCGTTGAGATCGCAAATGTGCTTTTCTTCATCAGGTGAAGAAGAATTTGATTCGTGAAAAATATTTATCCACCAAAATCTCGCCATTCAGGTTCTCGTTCACATACGTTTTTTTCGTACGTATTTTTGCGAATGAATGGTGTTTTCAATAGAAATGTAAACAGTAACAATCTCGAGCTCGGCACCTACTCTAGTTCCGGCTAAAAAGTTTGCAGCTGCTTACTACTTGTTATTCTAATAGGCGATGTTTTCAAAC